GTGTGAACGAGCAGACAGATTTGATCAAAAAGTCAGAACTGAGCATTAAGATGGCATTAACGCTGACAGCCCTAATTTTGGGGGAATTAGTTCGTCCATGTTTGTGTCGTAAACACACAAATCAGCCCGTGCACCATTACATTGCTCCGCCCATCAAAAAGTCAGCGCATGCATGAATGTACCGCCCATCGTCGATTCTTGGACTGACGACTGTCTGTTGGAAAATATTTACATATCGCTCAACCCTGTTACTATACAAGGGTTTAGTTTAGTACAAAAGTGCTTCTGTGAACAGTTGTAAGCATCGTCTCCTAAACTCACTTTATTAACCCCTGAAACACTCCTGTCAGAAACACACATTGTTGGATTTTGCATTTTCTAAGAACATAATCGGAGCAATGACATAATCACTCTGTGCTTCCATGTTCAGAAGCACGAGTCAGCAATAACCCGAGTGCAAGCATCACTTTGTCTCACTTGCTCGGCACAGCTGCTCCAAGCTTCTACATCAGTACTTTAATGAAAGGCTCATGTTATGATTCTGTGCTAATGATCGAATCCCTGAACACATTTAAAAGGTACACATACAATTAAGTATAACAAAGTATTTGCTTGTCTGCCTTCACATATGAGCCTTTCTTAATCCACAGGTTTAATACGCAGCTATAACACGTCCATCAGGACGCAGTGGCACCGGGTTAGGACTGTATGTGTCTCACACTCTTCATTCATCCCAAAGGTTCGACTGGGCTGAGCTCAGGACTCTGTTGCTCCACACCAAATACACTCACTTTTACAGACCCTGCTTTGTGCAGCGGTGAGCAGTCGTGTGGGAACAGGAAGAGGCCATCCCCAAACTGTTCCCACAAAGCTGGGACCTTGAAATTGTCCAAAATGTCTCAGTGTGCTGAAATGAGTTACTTTCAGTGGAGCTAAGAGGTCCAACTCCTATAAATCAAGCCATCACCCCCCATCAAACATGGCACTGTGCAATAAGTCACGCTGATCAGTGGCTGTTGATCAGTGGTCATGAATAATTAAGAT